AGTAGACTATCGTTTGTCGTATCCACTTCCTAGAAGACGACTGTCAAGTAATTCACCAAAGGCTGCCTTCTTCGCCTGACTCTCCGCAATCTTCCTAAATGCTGCAGGCGCCACCATGTTGGTTTGCTTTTTCACCTCTAGAGAGAAGTAGTAACATAGATTGCCACTAGGAGGCGAGGAATCATGCTAGTGTGGTGTGTAAATGGTCAAAGGTAACTTTTAAATGGGGCTTTTATTTTGTCTCTCTTCCTGTCAGACCAATAAAATTGCCGGTGAATTGCTGCATAGTCCGACTGAAACAGACCTGGGGTCTACCTTATGCAGAACTATGCAGCCCTCTGCAGAGAATCGTGTCGGGTGCGATCATCTCCACTGACTCTCAATGAGAGATAAACGCCACTACTTTGTCCAATAAGATTTCCTGTCAGATCGGATCATCAAGGGGGTCCAATCTGAACTTGATGACTTGGTATGAATGGAGTCTGGTGTGCTATTGTTTGGTTGGAAAGAAAACTTGCAGCATCACGGCCCTTTCTGGAACAAGTTTGACAATTGTGCTCTAGATATTCAGAACCCAAACTAATTTTGCCGGTCCAAACTAAAAAAGAACCAACAGCTGAACCTAAATATGGACTTAACAGACCCAGTGAGCCCCTTAATAATCTAGATTAAATGGGTTAAGATTAAGGCAGTGGGCTAGTCTCCGTTCCAGACCTGTTGGGTCATTCGGACAAGTACAGTGTTTTGTACCTGGTATTTGGACGTTTGCCGGGTCGTCTTCAGAACTCCCCAATGGTTCTGCACTATTGAACTCTCTATGTCGCGGCACAAAGGTATCAAACTCCTTCCTAAGCAGTGGACTCTCATCGTCATGTCGGGTCCAGAACTCCAATTTTCTGGATTTATTCTGGGGAGATTCTGGGTCTTCTGATTCCTGATCATCTTCTGATTCCAGGGGTTCTGGTTCCTCCATGTCCTCCTCTGTGTCCAGGTACTCCAACTCGCCCAAGTCGTCTATAATCTGTGGACATCCTGGTTCTGACAGGGCCTCTTCGATGNGTTACATATGTAACCACGGTTCTATGAATCCCGGATGACTGCGACAGGCGGTGCTTAAAGCACTGAATGATCACTCTTGCGCAGGTCGAGAATTAGTATCAAAAAGTCACCTGTGACCTACCGGTGATCAGCGGAAGCCTATATAGGCACGTGACACCGGTAATTCAGTCCCTCAATCTTCTTGTGAGCCAGCGAAACCGAGGGACCAAACCCTCTGGCTTAAAGCACTGAATGACGTACTAGGTCCCGAGGGATGCAGAAGTAAGGAACAACCCATTGGAACCCGGCAGCAGCCCCTACCTTAGTGGGATGCAGCCGGTGGTTACTGCAGGATGCCCTGAAGAGGATGAGGCGTAGCCATGTTCACTCTATAAAACCTCATGAAAGTGGTCGGCACAGACCATGAGGCCGCCTCGCAGATTGACTCCAGCGGCACCCCCATCACTGCAGCCCATGAGGTTGACAGGCTCCTTGTAGAATGGCATCGCACCCCCTGAGGTAGGGGCTGACCCTGCAGAGAGTATGCCACAGTTATCGCCCCCATGATCCAACATGCCAACCTTTGTTTGGAAAGGGCATGACCTCGCCGAGGGCCACAATGGCATACAAAGAAGCTGTCAGTCAGCCAAATGGTCGCTGTGGTGCAAACATAGGCCTCCAGCGCTCTGACTGGACACAGAGCTTCAGAAGGGGTCCCGGGCTCGAAGGCGGACAGCTGAAGCGGCAAGACTGTGCCTGCTACCGTGGGGGCCTTCAGAACAAAGGAAGGGTAACTCCTGGGCCATCTGGGTTCCACCGACAACAAGGCTCGGATACAGACAGAGCATTCAGCTCCCCCACTCGTCTACCAGAAGCCATGGCGAGCAGGAAGGCAGTCTTCATGGAAAGCCATTCTAGGTCCACTGTCACAATCGGCTCAAAAGGTGGGGAATACAGAGCTTGAAGCACCAAGCCAAGATCCCAAGTAGGAGCCATCCAATGCCTCGGAGGAAGCAAACGTCTGGCACCCCTCAGGAACACTGCTATGTCCCTTCACCTTCCCACAGAGCAGCCACTGAACCCAGTGTGCCAATGGGAAATGGCAGCCACGTAGACCTTCAAGTTTGAAGGGGACTGCCCCCGGTTAAGTAACCCTTGAAGGAAAGCCAGTAATGGTTGAATGGGACAACGTATGGGGTCCAGCCCCCTATTGTCACA